ATTGTTTCTTCGAAATGAAGAGATCTTTGTAAAAGAAAAAAAAGAGATACAAGGACAAAGTACCTTATTACGAGGGTAATTTCTTCTTTTTGCTCCTCTTCTCTTTCCTTTCCTTTTAATTCCAGGTAATTTAACTGCAGGGAAAGGTGATTGTTGCAATAATAGCCGAAGGAGCTTCTTAAAGGGCCATTTCGTGACAACAGGAAACGAACGGTTCCTATTAAGGAGTGCAATTCCTTTACAGCTCCCATTCGTTCCCCGAGCGAGTCGCTCTTCCTTTCGCGCCTCGTGATTATCTCTTTTGAGCGTAGCTCGCATTGTTCTTGCGCAAGCTTCGCATATTTACCATTCGCGCGAGAGTCGTTGATTTATTGGATAGTTGACATAACGTCGCTCAAGCTAAGAGAGTGTTATTCTTTTTTATAGCGATGCTATCGTAGGATAGACGATTATGCAAACGACCACAGAGGATTTCCAAGGGTGAATTGAATTTAGTTTGACGATGTAGTACTGGATCTTATATATTTAGACTTGACTCTATGAATAGCTACTCGAACGAGTACTCTTTTCAAGGCTGAATCATCAACTGCGCGCAAATCAAGATATTCGCATCGACCGATAATCATCGACAACACAAAGCCGAAATCGAGAGGCAGCGCGTATGGCTGACGAGGGGGTTGAATATAGCTGGCAAAGATTAAAAGGCTCGATTATAACACGTAGCGCGTCAAGTGCTCTCTGCTACATCGCATAAATCTTGCGATGCCTCATTTTTTATTACCCACGCGCGCTCTCTGATTTTTTTTTCTCCTTGCTCGCAGGGGTGTAGTTTATTAACTCGAGCGGCAGCCAGAGAGAGAGAGAGAGAGAGAGAGAGAGAGAGAGAGAGATATGCGGATAAAAAGAGCGGAAATGATGTCTGCGCTCGCGGAAAAATTCACAAAGAGCTGACCTCTCCTGCAGCTAGTTGTGCATTATATCACTATACAACGCAGTTGTAACGCTTAAGAGCTTCACTGCAAAATAATTGCCGGAGAACGTGAAACTCTTCTCTTTTTTTCCTTTTTGGCTAGCGAGAGAGTGAGAGATAAAATGTTAGCTTTGCTGGCTTTTCGCGTAGGCTGACGATACGTTAAAGGTAGAGAACAATTATAAGGGTTTCGTGACGCTAATATATGACGACAGCGGTCAACAGGAGACGGAAAGGCATTGCAAATTGAGAAAGCTCGTAAATGCAGCTTGAAAGAAGTAATTTAGACGGGCGAATGACATTCGCCTACTTGACGTAATTAAAAGTCTAGCGAAGTGGAATTCAATTCGCTATCCCAGAGCACAGTCATCACTAGCATACATATACCAGAGCGCTCTGGCCTCGTAGTGCACGAATATGCATCGGACCAGCGTCCATGGCAAAATAATGCTCGCGAGCGGAAATGACGTCAGGTGTGAGGGAAAGAGCGAGAGCGTACAATGGCCTGGATGGCCCCTTGGGATCCCGTCGCGGCTCACCTGCCCCATTATTCACACCACAATGTACTTCCTTTTTTGTCAAAACACGCGCGCGCTCGCACTCGTCCCTTTGCCATTTTTATTATATTTTATTTCAGCCGCACATTTGCGCGCCGCTGCAAGTGTCGAGCTTCTTGTATTTTCAGGCGCAAGCTCTGTCGTGCGCGCGAACTCTCACCGGCCACCTGCTAACGTTGTTTTCGGCTTAATTACGGCCTCGTTTATTCGCAACCCGAGAGGGAGAGAGAGAGAGAGAGAGAGAGAGAGAGAGAGAGAGAGAGAGAGATGGAGAGAAAGCCGTAGGGTGATCAGGCGCGAAATTGTGTGTCCGCTGTATTTCTTACTTAATCTTTGTTGTAAATTTCTACCGGGCGTTGACAAAGAAAAAATAAAGAGATATATATCTTCCGAATTTCTACATAAAATTTTTAGCCGGGCAAGCTCGCCAGAGGCTACCAGAGTTTTCCATAAAGCACATAAATTCAAGTCCTGACAAATTGAATTTTCGAACGAATGTTGCTGGAGAGGAGCAAGATAGCCGGCAGCGACCCCAGTGTCAGGCAAGTGAGTTATGGTATGCGAGCATGAATTTCCTGTAGCTGCCTAATTTGAATTCTTTTAAAAACAATCTATTGTCATTGAAAATCAGAACTGACCACAGCGATGTCCGTATGCCAATTGATTTTTCTCCACTGATTTCGAAAACAACGCTCGTCACGGAATAGACATGATACCGTCCAGCGCCAACTAATGATGTACGTTAAAAACATCGACGCAGCAACGTAAACTCGATTTCCAGTTAAAGTTTATCTACTTTTGATTGAACCAGTACCACAGTTTGCAGAGAAAATTGGGTTGGCTAACTAGCGCATAAAGCCAAGTCCTTAATTCCATTTAGAATGGAAATACAACGCATTTAATTATGCAAGCAGTGAAAGTACGCTCCGCGTAAGTTACATCGTACGAGTAAACTTGCTGCCATTTCAATTCCATACAATATGCATACGTTTGAGAATGATTAGACGCCGGAAAATTCCTCCATAAAAAGTAGAGCATTCCAAGGTCACTGCCGAATAAACATACTAGTACTACGAAACAGTCTCTTTTATCATGTCTCTGCAAAAGAAAACAGCAGTGGCGATGGGAAAAGAAAGGGCAAGTTTTTCCCTGGCAATAATTACGGCAAGCAAACGCGAAATGGCGAAAATACTTTAATAACGCGCGCAGCGGTAACAAAAGTTACGATTGATAAAGGGCCATTTCCTGGGCGCTGCTTGGACCGACCGATAGTAAAATCCGTCATATAGGCCTGCTGCCGGTCATTCGTTTGGAGCACACACACACACACACACACACACGCGCGCGCACGTATTTCGTCGATTTGCCCGTATAGGCTTTTGCGAGACACGCTAACTTGGCGCGCTTTTGTGCGCGCATGGTAATTATACGGCCTGCGGTTAACGCGCGAGCGCGAGCTTTCGCCGGACGATGAAATTACGAAGCGCGCCGGATCTTCCGGTTCCCGCGTCTATCTGCGTGTGCGTGCGCGTTCGCTTTTCTCGCCCGCGCCGCTCACTGCGCGCCACCGGATTCTCGTGCCAAGGTTGCAGCGTTATTGAATTCGTCGTTTGAATATCACTGCGTTTTATTATGCCATCAATTGCGATTCGCCCTTTCATTAGCTGTGGCAATAAACTCATGCCATTCGTATAACCAACATTACTATTTTTTTCGCGGGGTTTTTTCAGGCTCCAGTCGTTGACAGTTCATCGCCACCGTAAATTTTGAGATTATGTCGCGAGTTCATTTTTCGAGATCGCAATGAGATTACGATACTAACGGCCAGAAATTGCATAGAGATACGAAAATAGAAGCGAGATGAGGGCCAATAGGGTAGTAATTTAAAAGCCATCATGTCCTATCTCCGACAAGTCAAAGAGAGGAAAAAGCTTTGCAGAATAAACGGACATCGCAGCAAGAGAGTTTGCCCGATCGACAAAACTCGACCTAACTCGAAGGAATACCACAGTGTGTTCCCGGATCGATTGGGTTTACTTTAGAGCCCGATACAGCTGGATGAGGAGCCGGCAAAAGAAAAACCAAGGAGGGTGAAACCACGAGCTTCCGCAAATCCTTGCCATTGTCACAGTACACTAAATTTGAAGAAGATTAAAAGGTTCAAAATAGAATCTGCAAATATTTTAATGCGCTTCTCACTTTCAGTTGCTTCAGGTGGTCAAGTGGAGAAACAATTTGCAATTCTTCGAACTTTCATGACGGTAAATCTGACAACTCGTGACTGAATTGATGATACCAATCGACCGTAAAACGCACACGAGGAAATGAAAGTAGGCAATTTTCACCGAGCAATTTTTGCTACTTTTCCTTTGAGATCCTTATTCATTAGTGCCGAGGTCTTTATGCAGCAGCTTGATTTACGCTCGAAAATCCACTATCTTCTTTGCGCGCCTTAGGATGAAAGCGAGGGCGCAGTGGATAAGAACAAAAAAAAAGAGAAGTCAAGACTCGTTCGCTATTCCTTTTTGGCTTTGGGCAGGGCGCTAAGCCAAAATAAACGACCCACAAGACCCATAACCGCTCCACTAGTGCCAATTAGGCAGAGTTGCGCAGTGTGCTTGTCTTTCTGTTTCGTCGATACTTCAACGATTTTAATTGACTGTTGAAGCTGAATAAAAATTTAACGAATTGCAATTCCGCTCGAGTGCCATTATTTTTCAATGCATTTCCAGGTCGATGAGTTTCGGATAAGCGAATTTCAATGATTTTAGTCAAGTGTAGTTATATCAAACAGTAGATTTAGTAGAATCAATATGTAACTGTTTAAACACCACAAATTATCAAAAATAAATGCTAAAGCTTTTAAAAATCATTACATGAAAATGTAAGCAATGCTTCTCACTTGAAATTGTGAAATATTTAAAAACTTTTATTTCCAACTCGTTTTCTATTCGTAAATTACAGTTAACGTCATCGATTGATTATATTACGCTAATTAAAAGAGCATGAGTGTACATAGAGACTGATTGGAAAGTTACTGAGTTAACAAAAAAACCATTTAATTATGATGCATATGACATGCACGATACAAACACGAGAATGATGCGCACGTACCGAAATGTATGCTTTTGTCTCGATATTTTATTAATTGAAAAGGTTGAATAATACATAGTTATTAAAAATATTAGTGTGGATATTCAATTTAATTGAAACCCAGTGGAGTATATTTAGTAAACATGCAATCCCATTACACAAAGCTGTACGTAACTTGACAAATATAATACAAGTCATAATATCTCGTTTCAACCTTCAGTTAATTTGTTGAAAGCTGCTATCGATATAGCAGGTATATAAGGCTTTGAAATAAGTATTTTTCACTAGACAAATTGATATTGACACGCCATATGGATAGTGATTGTCCAATATTGTAATAATTGTTATTGAATAATAATAAAAGAAGAGCACCCACTCACCATTTTGAGAAAAGTTCACCACAGTTAATTGTTCAAACGCGAATGCGAAAGGTGTACTCCGGTCAACAATCGTAATCAGCACAAAATCCACAAAGCTGAGAAGTCTCCATGCACGCACCGAACTGTATCCGCGCGTGGCGGCAACTGCAGCGGCGAAACTTGGCGCGCACTTCACCGAACTCGGCGACTGGGCTGACAGGTGCTCTTATAGCCTCGACTGACCTTGTCGCTTGCGTGTCCCTTCTCCCCCACCTTACCAGTCGTCACCCACGCGTGTATACTCCCCTGCGACTCGCAGGCTACACCTGCGTCTATCTAGTGCGTGGGACACGCTCGCTCGCTCTTTTTTTTCGACCTTTTGTCCGCGAGCTGGGAGCCTTACGCTATCCGACGCTCTGATTTTTGTCACTGATAGTACCGCACCACTGTCCGTACACGCGCCCTCGCCATTTAATTAGTTGCTTTTTTCCTTAGCAACTCGCCTGTTGAGCAAGTAATTGAATTTTCATTTAATACACTCGAGATGTCATCATCAGCAGGACGTATGGAAAAAATTGCCGTGCGCACGCACAAACATGATGCTGCTAAAGAGATAAGCCTCATTGAAAAATGTTTCCGTTGCGCAGTTCAATTTTCCTTTTTTTCTTGTAAGTTTGCGTTCGAAATAAACTTATGAAAATTCTGATAAACAATGGCTCGTAAACAGCCACTATGTAAATACATGAATCCATTTTTCCGAGAAAAACTGTAGAACATTCTATTGTTGATAAAGTGTTAGTAGTGAAACGATGATGAGAATCATATAATCATATTGAGAGAGGGGGAGGGGGAGAGAGGTCATCGAACTTACGACTTTCTCGGATATAAAAAATCAGCCAGCCTTTGCAGCGAACCGAATAATTCGGAGGTACCGTAAACTCTGGCACGTGTAAATTCATAAAATCCGACGTGATTCGACGTTGGTGGTACACTGCACTGTGATTTCCGTAATCATTTTCTTGTTCACTGCGCTTCCTTAATTTTTGTCTTTTCGTCCTGCCTCGAAATTTCGTCTGACATTTTAATGTACTTTCAGTAATTGTTCGAAGCATCAACTGTAAATTTTGCTGAATTGAGAAACCGTTTGAAATAAATTTTGACAAATGAACTTGTTGAACGAGCCTTGTTCAGAATAATTATTGAGATGAGTAACGAACTTGCGCGTTGCTCAGCTGTGAAATTTATCGTATACTAGCGGAGACAAATTGTTGGTATGCTTGCAAGCGACCAATCGGTAATTAAGGCTTTTTCCGAGTCGGCAGTTTGTTCAAAAGATGATCTATTTATTAATTTTGTTTTGTTTTTGTTCTGTTGAGGTAAGCAAGAGGCAGTTTGTTGAGTTACGTAATAACCTCCGTGATTTTACAACTTTCCATCAGAGAGCCGTTTACAGGTATTTGTTGTGCTGTCTGTGCGAATGGACTTGATGAGAATTTTTTTTTATTAAGATAATGAAGCGAGGTACGTGATAAAAATATTGTCTTTTTATTTAATAATATACACGGCTAACTGTCTATATTTCGACGAGTAGTTTATTAACATTTTATTCTCATGGTTATGATGATGGTCCAAGACTTTGACGTACGACCGTAATTTATTATAATTATTACATAGTAATCTTGAGTATCCGAATAAAAAATAATGTCATCATTGGCAATGATTAAATAATAATGATAGTCGAAGATGAGCAAGAGGGGTCGGGTAAACGATGGTGCAAATTACATTCCATAAATTAGCTTATTAATAAATGCCAGCCGAATAAGCAATTGTGCAGTTCGAGGGAACGGACGTAGTAGCTTATCTACTCACTCGTGCAGCGAAAAATAAGAGCGACTTCATCGCTCTCTCCCATAGCAAGCATTGGCTAACTACGCGCAGCTCGCACGTACGTAAAAGCATTGAATCACTCTCCCTCAATTTCCCAACGTAGCTGCGCCGGAAGACGAAGCGAGCGTGACGCATATTGCGCAGGCTTTATTATACGCCGTACATTGCCTACGGTCCTCGCTGGCAGATGATTCTGCTGTTTTCTGATTCAAGAGGCGCATCAAGAACAGGCCAATAATTGCCGTGGCCGCTCTTGCCGAAACCGGGAAACGCTTGGTGTGCGTATGCAACGCCTAATTCTCGTACGGGCGCAAAAGGCTCGACCTTGGCGTCCGCCTTTCGAAGCGAGGAGCGACCGCTCGGCTCGCCCGAAGAAACGGAGAAGAAAGAGCCGGGACTTAATCGGGCAAGCTTGGCGGACAGCGGAAAGGCATTCCAGCAACTGCCGGCGTCGAAAGTGAGACGCACTTTTTTTTCCCCGCGCGACGCTCGAAGATGCTCGCGCGCGCTATATCGCGAGAGCGATCTCTGCCAGCGGCAAAAAATCGCGCAATCTCTCGTGAGATTCGTATCGAGATGTTCCTTCGTTCCCTTTTGTTTCTCCAAGGAAAAACGCCTTTTGTTCTCTCTCTTTATCTGTCTGTCTTTTTGCGCGAAATACATCCGCCACGATGCGTGCATGATTTTTATAACAAAGGAAATGCTTTTCGACTACTGCCCGAGCATTCGTCTTGTTTCGCTACTTTGCGATCTTCGGTTCTCGAAGCCGATCATTGGAAACTTGATGCAATAGAAGCCATTGTTTGTAAATCTGGTTTTGTTGTGCCAGCACTGCCTAGGGGAGAGGACTCGCGCCAGGCGCCAAATCGGGCAAACAGTTTCTCCATAAATGCAAATAACGATCTAATGTAGCGCGCTGAAATGCAGTCGTGCTTATTAATTAATGAGAGATTCAACTTTATATTCTAATGGACATTTATTTTTCGTTACAAATGCACCACACTGCGTTATAAATAGATCGCTGTGCTCGTTTCTCATTCAAATAAAATCAAAGTAGCACGGTTTCACTGCAATTTCGACTAAGCGTCATTGTGAAATAATATTGGAACCGGGGTATCAGCGTAGAAACAGTGTGAAGACTCAAGAGAGAGTATATCTAAAATTTAAGCAGCTCTTTCATGCTATTCGCTTTATTTACGATTCCTTCAGGATTCGACTCGAGCATTTTTCATAAGCAAAGCGAAGGCATAAACTGAAAGAAGCTCCTAGGGTGATTTAAGAATTTTATAAAGCCTTACGATCGATGCTGTTTCTTGAACGTATCCATTTATTATTTCTAAACTCACGGAAATCCCTGCAAATTTTGCCAACACTTCGTTTTTCAAGTTGCGTCATTTGAAAAGCTAACTAAACGATGACATAAAAGTCTCGTAAGACGATAAAAAATAAAAATGCCAGGTGACATATTCAAGTCGTTATTTTTCGAAAATGCTTTTGCGCACGCAATAACCCCTCTTACCCGAGAAAGTGAGAGAGAGGGAGAGAGAGAGAGAGAGAGAGAGAGAGAGAGAGAGAGAGAGAGAGAGAGAGAGAGCAAGAAGAACGAGCGCATTTTTGGCCGCGAACTTGGTACTGCAATTTATTGCTCTCGTGGGAGGAGCCGCGAAGTAAAGAGGATCGCGTGCGAACAGACTCTACCCTCTCATAAAGTCGAGCAATAGCTCGTTTACACGGTTGTTCTTTTCTCTCTTTTAACGGACTACTTTCTAACGTCCATCCTTCACACGAGTGGTCTTTTTGATTTGATTTTAGTTGTGCTCATCAAAAACTCTGATTGTTTTTTACACTACGAATTTCTTGACAATAAAGCGACGACGAACAATAAAATATGTTGCTTTGCTGCAATATAACATTACGAGCCTGTGAAATTTTAGGCACTTTGAAAAACAGTGCGATAATTCTTTGTCCAGATGTCGCACATTCGTACTTTGGAAAAATAAAATTATCAGTCACACATATAATAATCGAGAGCACAATTATTTTATGTAAGCGTCGAAGTAGTCATGCGGTTTGGTCACGCTCGAGGCGCACAGGTGGAATTCGCTTAATCACTGACATTAACCTGTGTGTCACATCCTGCGAGTTGACGATCCACCGATTCGATAACATTGAACTTCCGCACCGTTGGCCTTCTTTTTCACGAAAATTTACTGGTTCACTATTTGCCGAAAGGGGGCACGATTCCACGGCCGGGTTAATCAATGCAGAAATCTGCAGTGTAATCATTCGCTGCTCCTTCCGTGGTCAGTTAGCGCTTGCGCAGCACTGCGTGTCGCAAGTTTTTTTTAATTATTTCTGCCGTCTTTTAAGCTACGGGATTTGAATAATGTATGCCAATGAGACTATGCTACGGGTATGCGCTTGAATTTCGCTTACTGTTTTCCGGTGTTGTCTGTGCGAAGAGAAACCAAATTTTGATGAAAATTGTTTTGACTGACATGGGTCATATTCGCCTGCTAGTTAGCCTTTGATCGAAATATTACAACAATTCATAATTGCAGTAGCGCTTTACCGTGCATATTTCACATAATTTTAATAAAAGCAATTTGAACCTCGTTTAAAACATTTTTTTACCAAATGACATTATTGTATAGTATAATCCTATCTGGGATGGTTTCGTGAATATAAATTTGATTATTTAGAGGAGCCTAGGAATAGCAACTAAAAGAATAATTTACCGACTGCAGAAAATAATAAAAGTTGAATATCAAAAACGCTCCTAATATTTCAAAAAACTTGAAACCTACTTAACAAACACATTTTCCCGTTCAAGAGTAACCGTTATTCTTATAAAATTTGTGAACCGAATGTGTGTCAAAGCTCGTAATGTATTTATTTTGTGATTGATCACTATCAGTAAAATAATGCTTCTGTTTGTACCAAATTCATGAAAACTACAGCGATATTATTAATTGAGAAAATAACACATATAAATTGAATAACTCATAATTATAATATCTCAGTCGAAAATAGAATCGATGTTTCCAATGTCACACTATTCTTGAACAATTAAAAAACTTTTTACATAAAACTTGAAAAAATGTGAAAATTAGAAATTTAGCGTGTCGTTCAGTATTAATTGTAAGAGAAAGTTCAGAAGACGTCTAAGTTATCAAGAATATGCAGAATGAAGGGCACGTTTGCGAGGGCTTCTTCCACGTAGAGTTTTCCTGTTAATCGACACTAGATGGTGGAGGAGGAGGGTAAGATTATCCTTTAATTAGACTCTCTTC